CCTTCCTGTCCCCTACTCTCCTCTCCAGTCCCCTGCTTATCTGCTCTCTCAACTAGTCTGTGCCCTCATCAGCCACTCTTATGTCTCCTCTTTCTCTCCTGTCTCCTGGACAATCTCTAAAGTAACCTTGTAACCAAGTCCAAGCTCCCTGCAGGACAGGGCAGTAAATGGAGAGGCAAGATGTTGGGGTAGGAAAGTGACTTTATTTATTAAACCAGGAACCTGAGGATGGTAGACTACTGTCCCAAAGAGCCATCTCCCTGGACACGAAATTTGAGCTTCTTTTATGTTAGCAAAAGGAGGAAACAGGAGGATGTTGGAGTTGAAAGTTGACTGACATCCCAGGAAGGTTATGAGATTTCTTTCTTCTTGGTCAATAGATCCTTGCATACAGGAATCTGGTCACGTTGTTCCCGAAAATAGCAAATCTAGCACAGTCATTTTTGTACATCCTTTCTTATCTCCTCAGGTGAGGTAGGTTTGGGATAAAAAAAGCAGTTTTTGCACATCTTAGCTACAAGCAAAATTCCTTTGATGATTAACATGCCTACACGCAGGGCTCATCAGAAGCTTCTCAGTTACAGGTCATAGCAGCAAGGGAAACAGAAGCAATATGGAGCTGGACATTCTCCGTTTCTCCCTCACCCTCCTTCTTGCTGGCAACCTTGCAAATAGCTCTTCCTACTGACAGCTCACCTGTACGGAGGGCTCACTATGTGAGTGATTCTACGCACATGACTGTATCTGATTCTCAAGGCACCTACTGCTACTCCTCTTCTCTAGGAGGAAGACTTTGAGGTGCCAGGTCAAATGGCTCAGATCTACTTGCTTCCAAGGCCCACTTCTAGAAACCAACACAACATAGACATTAGCATGGCTTACACACATAAAGACTTTCTGGTCCCATTCATACAATTTGAAGACTAACTAGTCAAAACTCAGAGAGTGAAAGTCACTTGCCCAAGGTCACATAATGGGTCTGACTATCTCCAGAACTCATGCTCTTTCTTTCTGTTCTCAGTTGTTCTGCTTCTCTCTGCGCTTACCTGGCAGATGAGCTGTGACATCAGGCATTAAGCCCAGGGCAGGCCATATACCTCTGCCTTCTGGATTTGGAGGTATCTATTAAGTGGTGAGCTAGATTGCATGGAGAATGGGGTCTGGGGCTATAAGTGATAGGGAGGTGGTCTTCAATCCCTTGGGAAGGGGCTTTAGTGCTCATACTCCGATTCCATTACCCTGGGCTGAGACTGAGTGCTTTGTTAGGAACCCAGATGCCAAATAATTGTCTGCCTTAAATGGAACCCCTGCTAGAAGTGGCCTCTTGGGGAAAGTGAACAATACTCATCATTTCTTTCTTTTTGTCCTGTGGATTCTTTTCAAGAAACTTTCTTTTTTTTTCCTTAAAGATTTATTTATTTATTTGTTCATGAGAGAGAGAGAGAGAGAGAGAGAGAAAGAGAGAGAGAGAGAGAGAGGCAGAGACACAGGCAGAGGGAGAAGCAGGCTCCATGCTGGGAGCCCAATGTGGGACTTGATCCCGGGACTCTAGGATGGCGCTCTAGGCCAAAGGCAGGCGCCAAACCACTCAGCCACCCAGAGATCCCCTCAAGAAACTTTCTTTAAGCCACTTGTCCATTATGTGAAGGGTGGTTTAGTGAAATCTCAATTCAAGTCATTCATACACTTTACCAAGCACGCAATCTCCTATAACACAAATTAAGACATATATATTTGAAATAGATATTTATGTATAAACATATATGTATTTTTTCTTTAAAAAAGGAAATGATCTCTTGAGGAAAAAGTGGACATTTCTCTCTTGAAATCATTTTGTTGAGCATATTGCCTATTTAACCCTTAACTGGATACTTTGAGTATCAATAGACTTTCTCATTAAGCTAAAAAGAAAAAAAAAGTTAAAAAGCAAAGACATAAATGACTTCCACTGGATTTTTTAAACATGAGAATGAGTCTTTATTATTAAAGTGAATTTTTTGTTTTTTTTTTTTTGTTCAACTTATTTCAAAATAGTTACAGATACACACGTTTCAAAAATAGTACATAGAATTCTGCATACCTTCCACTGAATTTCATCCAGCAGTACATCGTATATGTGTATAGTTCATTATCAAAGTCAAGAAATTCACATTAGTACAATGTGTCTATATAGTTGTATGCAATTTTATCACAAGGATGGATCATAGAAATGGAATCACATAGTATGTAATCTTTTATGATTGGCTTTTTTTTCCCCATTCAGCACAGTGCTCTGGAGATCCATTCAAGTTGTTGTTTTTATTACTGAGTATGCCATGGGCTAAATTGTGTCCCTCACTCCAAATTCATATGTTGTGTTCTAACTTCTAGTACCTCAGAATATGACCTTTTTTCTGTTTGGAGATAAAGAGATAAGTAAGTTTAAAATGAATTCATCAGGGTTGGACTTAATCCCATATGATTGGTGTCCCTATAAGAAAAGGACTTTTTGGGGATCCCTGAGTGGCTCAGCGGTTTGGCACCTGCCTTTGGCCCAGGGCACGATCCTGGAGTCCCGGGATCGAGTCCCACGTTGGGCTCCTGGCATGGAGCCTGCTTCTCCCTCCTCCTGTGTCTCTGCCTCTCTCTCTCTCTCTCTCTCTCTCTCTCTTTCTCTCTGTCTATCAGAAATAAATAAATAAATCTTAAAAAAAAAGAAAAGGACTTTTGCACACAGAGAAAAAAATGATGTGAAGACACAAGGAGAAGACATCTATGAACCAAAGAGGGAGATCTGGGACAAACTTCTCTCATGGCCCTTAGAGGGAGCCACCTGCCAACATTTTTTTTTTTTTAAGATTTATTTACTTATTTATGATAGACACAGAGAGAGAGAGAGAGACAGAGACAGAGAGAGAGACAGAGACAGAGAGAGAGAGGCAGAGACAGAAGCAGGCTCCATGCCAGGAGCCTGACACGGGACTCGATCCCGGGACTCCAGGATCATGCCCTGGGCCAAAGGCAGGCGCCAAACTGCTGAGCCACCCAGGGATCCCCCTTTGCCAACACTTTAATCTCAGACTTCAGGCCTCCAAAGATGCAAGAAAATACATTTCTGTTGTTTAAATGACCCAGTCTACGATACTTTATTCAGTTAGCCCTAGCAAACCAATAAAGTGTAGAATACCATTGTATGGGTGTATTGGTATTTGTTCAACCATTCGTGTATTGAAGGACATTTGAACAGTTTCCAAGTTTTGGTTATTACATATAAAGCGACTCTGAATATTTATGTGCAGGGATTTTTGTGTGTGTGGGCTGCATTGTCATTTTTATAAATGCTAAAGCCAATGATTAGTAAAACTGATGTAACATTTCATTTGTTGGTTATTTCTTTAAACATGTATTGATTTCAATTTTGTGGTTTTACTTTGGTGCCTTGGAGCAAAACTCTTCTCTTTTTTCATTTTGTTTTCATTCCTAGATCTCAGTTATTTCCAGAAGCTCCTGGGATGCTGCAGAGTGCTGGTGGGTAGTTCTGGCTTTGACGCTTGAAGAAAGAAATAAGGGCCTGGTTAGATTTCCCAGGGGTGAAATATGCCTCTGGAAAACTTTGGGAATGATCCACTTGACTGAGAAACACTAGCATCCCCTAGCGCTTGGTTTGTAATACACAACATGGAAGAGGGTGAATGAGGTTGAGCAACAAATTCCTCTACAACATTTGTTTGTATCTTCTTGATGAATTGATCCTTTTATCATTATGAAATGTCTTCCTTTATCTCTGATAATTCTCCTTGCTTTCAAGTCTGTTTTTTCTGATATTGATATAGACGCTCCAATTTTCTTATGATTAGTATTTTCATCATTTGCTTTCCATACTTTTATAAGAAATCCATAGCCAAAGAAATTTGAATGGCCAGTAAACAATGAAAAGATTCTCACCCTCACTAGAAATTGGGAAGGTTGGAAGTAAAGCAACAAAGAGATGTAATTTTCCTTCATGAAATTGTCAAATTTTTGAAGTTTTATCATTCAGAATGTTGGTGACATGGCTGGGAAGATGACCACTCTCCTCCATGGGTGGCAATATTTTCAGGATACTTTGGCAATATCTATTCAAACAAAAATGTGTACACTTTGTGGAGCAACTCATCTTTTATTTAGTTTTTAATTTAATTTAATTACTTTATTTTTTTGAGAGAAAGAGTGTGGGTGAGCAGCTGGAGGAGGGGTAGAGATTGAGGGAGAAAGAGACTCTTAAGCAGGCTCCACACTCAGCATGATATGGGTTTGGATCTCATGACTTGAGGTCATGACCTGAGCCAAATCAAGAGTCAAAGGCTTAATGGACTTAAGGCACTTAGTTTCCTACAATTCATCTTTTGCAGATCTCAGCTGGGTGTGAGAAGGAGGAAGAGAGGGGAGAAAGAGAGAGAGAGAGACCCAGTCCTTCTGACAAGGTCAGTGGTATAGGTGAAGGTGGAGAAAGAGCTAGAACCAGGTTTGGTATCATTTTCTCCACTAAACTTGCTTAAAGCTTCTCATGCCTATGTTCATAAAATGTCTAAGAAATAAAACTAATCAGCCACACAAAACCTTACTCTTTCCTATGTTCCCTTCACTGTACCCACTACAGTGAAATATTTCTTTAAAAATATCTCAAGTTTGGGGAGAAATATACACACATCCAGTCTCTCTCTCTCTCTTTTTTTTACTTCAGGGAAGCTTTACTGGATCTGAGAGGAGCAGGGGTAAAAATGAAAGAGAAAGGCAATAGACAAGATGCAGGTCCTTCTGGCTTGTTCTTACTGGTTTAAAACATGCTCTCTGGGAGCCTGTAAGAGCGTAGATGTGTCCCGCTCCGCTACTGGCAATGAACACCCTAGCCATGCCTCAGGAGCTGCAGCTGCCCCAGAGCCAGAGGACTCAGCCCACATTCAGAGAACAAAGAAGACAAAAACTCAAGGAACATGTGTTAAAAAGAGAAACATTTTTTTTTGTACATAAACAGGTAAATCATGTATCAGGTAGTAGAGACCTGAAAGTGATGAACTCTGAAGGCCAGGTCCAGGAAAAGACTAAAGTTCTGAAATTCAAAACAAAAATGTAAAAAGAAACAAATATCCACAGAAAAACCGAAGCAAGATGCTAACATGTCCAAGAAGCTTGTGCTTCGGTCTTACCGTGGTCAAACTGTTCAGTCTAAGATTAATTCATTTAGAAAGCCCCTACCAGTCAGAGATGAGAGTTCTGCAGCAACAAAGAAACTTTCAGCTACTATCCTAAAGCCCCAGATCCTCTGCCTGCAGACACCTGCAGTTTGACAGTGAGAAGTGACACAGCCCCAAACGTGATGACCACCACTAGACTTGTGAGCACTGCCTCTCAAGACAGACAGCTGGTGTGGCCTCCTATCAGAAGTCACGGCAATAGTGCTTGGGACCTTGTGAAACAAGGCATCAGGAGAACTGCTGCCAATGTTACAATCCAGAAAGGGCCTCAGGAGAAGGAATTACTGCAATCAAACACAGTTTCATCTAGAGCCAAAACCAGTTCTCAGGATGTAGAGAGAAAGAAGACACTGTCAAGAAACCTGACGTCTGAAATTGTAGCCAGGCCTGCTTCATCTTCTAACTCCAGACTGATTCAGAAGCCAAAAAGCATTGACTCTCACAGACACACTATAGCAAAAGCAACTATTGATAGATCAACTCAGCCCAAAGAAACAGCAGAAGAAAGAAAAGCTTGTCTGAGTGAGTGGAAAGCTAGCAAAAGAAAAGTGCTGAAAAGCCCTCCTAGCTCAGGAGTTACCCAGCCTGAAGGGCGAAATGAAAACTCAGTTGGGTCCTTTTGGACTACCATGGTAGAAGAAGATGAACAAAGATTATTTACTGAAAATGTGAACAAGACATTTTCTGAATGCCTAAACCTGATTAATAAGGGGTGCCCAAAAGAAGAAATATTAGTCATACTGAATGACCTGATTAAAAATATTCCAGATGCCAAAAAACTTATTAAGTATTGGATATGCCTTGCACGTATTGAACCACTCACAAGCCCTATTGAAAATATTATTACAATCTATGAGAAAGCTATTTTGGCAGGGGCTCAGCCTATCGAAGAAATGCGACACGTAATTGCAGATATTCTAACAATGAAGAGTCAAGAAAAAGTCAAATATGGAGAAAATGTTGAGGCTTGTGCAACCAAGGAATACATCCAGGATGTCAGCAGTGAAGATATAGGTGTTAATCTAGAGTCAGGAAAACCAGAAATGGAAAAGAAACCTAGAAATGTGGTATTTCAAGATGACAGAAAAGAGCAAGATGACAAAACAAAAGATCTAACCAATGATGTTAAAACTCCTAGTGCAGAAACTGGGGGGGGGGGGGTTTGCTTAATTAAATATAATGTGTCTACTACACCATACCTACAAAGTATAAAAAAGAAGATACGGTTTGACAATACAGATTCTACATTTAAAGAGCTAAAGTTTCTAACACCAGTTAGAAGTTCTCAACGTATTCAAGAGAAGACTTCTAAATTGCCAGATATGTTAAAAGACCATTATCCACGTGTCTCTTCACTGGAGCAGTTAACAGAGTTGGGAGGTGAAACTGATGCTTTTGTATGGCGTCCTAACACAGCCCTATGCCTGATGTACTCAGAGACTGGAACAGCACAAGAGAAATAAAGCAATGATAAGAAATGGGGTTTTGTTTGCTTGTTGTAGTTTTGTATGTCTCTTAGGAGTTGGCCAAATACCTAAGTATTCATGACAGTAAGCTATTTTACTGATGTTCACATCATAGCAGGGATTGCCTTCTGTGCAGCAAAAAGCTAATCCTTGTCAATCTCAGCAGAGGGAGTTACTAAGAAAGGTAAATTTTGTCAAGTAGTTCGCTGTGTTCCTTGAATATAAACAGGTTTGATCATAATGTTGGCTTGTTCACTTTTAATAGTCTCAAATTGTTAGCTATTAAATATAAGTAAATGTGCATCATCAGAAAAGGTCTTCTAGATTAAATTTATATATTTATGTGGACATGTTCTTAAAATTTAGAATATACATGCCAGCCTTTAAGCAGAATACTGACTCTACTATTAAGTCATGTCCGTTAAAACATGATAGTTATGTACAATTAAGTTTCTTCTCCCCACACATAAATATCACTTGTAAAATTGTCTTATAAGTCTCCAAACTATCCTCTATCAATTCTACAGTTTCAAAGATTCAATAGTTTCAAAACTGTGTAATATAAATGTGCTTGATAATCACAGTCTTTTGTTCACTCATTCCATTTGTATACTAGCACCTATCTATGTTCTATTGTCTTTTGCTCTAGAGAGGATTTTTATTCTTTTATAAACTGTGTACCTAATATCTATAAATAAATATATCTGTATAGTGAAAAAAAACATGCCTTCTGCAACCCCCTCAACTGCCTAGTCCTGAGAGCAGCAAGACCATGATAAGGGCTTCCACTCATGTCTCTGACCTTCATTTCACCTATGACCTCAGAGTGATCAGCCCAAGAATGACTGCGGCCAGGAGGAGACAAGAGTATTCTCCTTAACTTGATTTTTACAATTTCCTTTCTAGTCTTCAGGAACCATTTGACAGTTGGAAGCACTGTGATATATTGAACATGGACTCCGACAGCCTGTGGTAGAGTCCCAGCTCCCCTATTTCCTAGCTGGGGGACCTTGGATATGTTGCCCGAACTCCCTGTGCTTTTGTTTTTTTCACCTATAAATAAGACAATAGTAGTATGTACTCACAGGGTTGTTGAGGGTATATGCTGTGATAATAGAAACCCTATTGGTTTTATAGGTAAAAGTTTATTTATTGCCCACATAAATTCCAGTGTAGGTCACCTTTGATACCACACTATACTACCCTGATACTATACTGTAGTCAAGTTGTGATAGTATATTGCAGTATTGTGTACTACACGTAGTACAGTATTCTATAGGTATCATCCCTGATGATCAGTTGACTGGTCCCAGACAACTCCAAAAATGGAGCTTGGACTTAAATGTGGGCTTCATGACATAGTCCAGATACTTAAAAGCCCCCCAATCAATAACTCCTTTCTTTGACACACACACAAATTGGCACCTATCATTCAAAAATGCTTAGGATGACATGTCAACTCAGCCTTTGTATGCATAAGAACATCTCTGATTCTTAACCCAAGGATATATTAGGTAGATATCTCTGCAAAGATAAAGATCAGGGTTGTATCCTTCCTCTAGAAATCCTTAATTGAGTAATCTTAACTCTTGTACCCAATGGTGATGACAACAAAAAATTTTAAATGGCAGTAGCCAATCTTAGATGGCTTTGGCATTCAGATAAGAGTGGGCTTTACCATCTTACATCTCTGCTTCATAGTAATTGAAACAGTAAAAGTAACACAAGCTTGGACTGTCCAACCAGGATCACCTTGAGTGACAGCCTTTTACTTCTGTGAAACCTAAAAGTGTGACTCAGAGATATTGCTGAGAACCAACATGAATGAGCAAGGACTTATAGAACATCACCACCAGAGCACTAGCCCCTATATCCCCTTTCTTACTTGGATTTCAGAGATAGCATCCTAGACCCATCACTCACTGGGCAGAAATGTCTAAGAATGGAGTGTAAGCCAGGACACTAACAACAGGTGGCCAAAATATCTACAAGCTGTTGAGTTGGCATTATTTTAGCAAAATTTTCCTTCTGTGTAAGACTGAAAAAAAACCCCAAGCAAACAGCCCCTACTCTTAAGTGATTGGATTCAGTATTTTTGTTTTCTATAAATCCCCAAGAGATAAAGCAGGTCTGGGAGAAGAAAGGGAGTTGGTGATTAATATACCTTGTACCACATGAACTACAAATGAGACAAGGCTCAGCTGTAAGGAAGGATCCCAGGAACTACCCAGAATCCTCCATGAATTCATCTCTTTGACTTAAAGCCAGTTCTGCCAATGACTTTGACCAAAGCCATTCGAACTTCTCGGTTTCTGAGGCTATAGATGAGGGGGTTCAGTGTGGGGGTGACAAGGCTGTAGAAGAGAGAGACCACATTGTCCTGTTGTGGGCTGTGGTAGGTACCTGGAACCATGTACATGAACATGGCTGCCCCATAAAAGAGCCCCACCACAGTGATGTGCGAGGAGCAGGTGGTGAAGGCCTTGTGTCGGGCCTCGGCAGACTGCATGCGGAGAACAGCCCTCAACACATGGCTGTAAGAGGTGGTGATGAGTGACAGGGGCAGTAGCAGGATCAGCACCCCTGAGATGGATAGCGACAGCTCATAAGCAGAGGTGTCTGCACAAGAGAGCTTCAACAGAGCAGGCAACTCACAGAAGAAGTGATCCACAGTGTGTGAGGCACAGTAGGGGAAGTGCAGGGTGATGGAGGTCTGGATGGAGGCCACAAGCACACCTGACAACCAGGAGGTGCCCACCATGAGCAGACAGACCTGACGCCTCATGAGCACAGGATAATGCAGGGGGTGACACACAGCAACATAGCGGTCGTAAGACATAAGGGATAGTAGGACACCCTCAGAGACACCCAGTAGCATCAGGAAGAACATCTGAGCTGCACAATCTCCAAAGGAGATGGAGCCCTCTCCCTGCAGGAAGTCAGCTGCCATCTTGGGGATGGTGACCAAGGGAAAGCCAACATCCAATAGGGACAGTTGACTGAGCAGGAAGTACATGGGTGTGTGGAGCCTGGAGTCTGTATGGATCAGGAAGAGCAGGATGGCATTGCCCAGAAGGCCCATAGTGAATATGACAGTCACAAGGAAGAATAGAACCACATGTGGCCCTGAGTGGCTGAAGAGCACCATGAGGGTGAAGTCTGAGGTCACTGACTGATTTGATTCCCTCATCTTCCAGGAAGCATCGCTCATCTGTAGGAACAACAGGATATTTGGAAGGAGACTCAGTGAATAGTAGTCTTGTCTTACATGCTGAGTAGAATTGTTTGGGTCCCTTGGAGTCTCCAGAAGGATGATGAGTACATTCAGTCTCTGTAGGAAAACAACAACAACAACAACAACAACAACAAAAACAACCCATCACTGATTCAGTGTCAGAAGGTGGGGAACAGCAAGTTCTTGCCTTCGCTCTCCAGGCATGCACTATCCACCAACACTTGCAGTTGAACTCCCTGTCCTCAAACTATGGAGTACAAGTCAGTCCCAGTGAAATATTGGAATATACCCCATCCCAGACACTCTGGGGCCAAAGCAGAGGTGGTATTCATTCCAAAGAGATTAGATATCAAGTAGGCCGACCTTGCCAGAGAAGAAGGGATAATGAGGCTGGAGACGGAATATGAGGTGTGTGGATTGATTGGCATATGGTTAAGGGGATATACTCTGGATTATAGCCAACTTTGAATACCAACACAGCTGTTTCCCCACCTTGTGACTTTGAACAAGTTATTTGATCTTTCTGGGGGTCAGTTTATCCATATGTCTATAGGGATAATTAACAACTTACTTGTAGGAGTAGCTGTGAGTATTAAATGAGATAATGAATTAAACAGCTCAACTCAGTGACAACCATATGGCAATTTCTTTTTTTTATATGGCAATTTCTTGATTTAAGTTCACAATTATTACTCACATTGTAGAGGAAATACATACATTAAAAAAATTCAGCTGGGTAGCATGGTTCACCTATAGTAGGATAATTTATGCCTGGTGCTTAGCTCAGTGTCTGGTATATAGTAAGACTATGCAATATTAGCCCTTTTTGTTGATGTTATTCAACATTATAACTCTTGTCAACTTGCATGGCAAAACCTAATCAATTCAAGTTTATTCTCAGTCATGCTCTCCTGAAATGACAATTTCTCTGTTCTTACCCTAAGTTGGTGGTTCTCGACCAGAGGTGATTATGCCCTCTTTCCCTGGACATTGGCAATGTCTGGAGATATTTTTGGTTGTCATGACTGGGGCTGCTAGTGGATCTAGTGAGTAGAGATCAGGGTTGCTACCAAATATCTTATAATGCACAGGATGGTCCCACCAGAAAGAATTGTCTGGTCCCAAATTTCAACAGTGCCAAGTCTGAGACTGACATCCAACAACTCTTCTCTGACCTGGAGCAGAGTCTCTGGGAGGTCTCCTGAGTCCATTGTCTTGCTCCTCTGATGGGGATGAGTTCCATGTCATATGAATGCCTAGAGATTAGTCTGTGAAGTTGAATTTCCAGATATATTTTAAAGAGAATATTAATAAGCCTAGTCTCAACTTAAATCACTGGATAATTGCATTATTTCCATGACTCTGTACGGAGAAGGGTTTGTTCTTTAATCATTATCTCTTGGGGCAAACTCATAGCTAATAGTCCCTCTGGACCCTGTCAAAGGATTTTCAAACGGATATTGTACTTAGTTCTTCTCTTTTCACCTATATCTGCCCTCAACCTCCTCACCAAAGGGCAGAAAAGGGAGCTAATTCCTACTGAGCATTTACTGTGTACTGGACACTGTGGTAAGGTCAGAGAAAGGCTGATGGATTTCAGTTAATGGTGTCTCAATGTTTGCACTATTGACATTTTGGGCTGGATAACTTTAAGTATGTTACAGGCATTTTTTTCTTTATCTTACTGGTAGGTGTTATCATCTGCCTTGTATAGGTGAAGGAGCATAGGTTCAAAGAAGTATAGTAAGTCATCTATATTGGG